GGGCAGATGTCTGAGTGCAGACAGGTTCAGGTGAGCAACAGAAGCAGGAAGAGCTAAAGGTCCTGCCAGTCATGGTACCTTGTGAGGAACAACGAGAAGGAAGTTAAGCTTTAGCTTAGAGCAACATGAAATGCAAAGAACAGGAAACACAGAGAGCCAGAGGAACCACAGAGGATAACACTGCAGCATCTAATGATTGGCAGGCTGCTCTTCTTCCAAAGCTCCTGATGAGACTAACAAGGAGCAGGTGTGTGCAGAGGCAGCAGAGTCTCAATCCAATAGCGCCCTCTAGTGGCCACCAACTGCTAGAAGAAAGAAAAAACAACCAAACACAAACTAACCTGGATCTTAACAAGGAGGTTCTGTTTTTGTCAGCGTTTGTTTGTCCGTCTGTCTGTTAGCAATAGAACTCAGATAGTTCTGGATGGATTTGGATCAAATGTTCAGACCAGGTGTGAATTAGGACAAAGAACAGAAGATTAGATTCTGGTGCTGATGTGAACCATCCTCTGGATTTGGTGGAGGTCTGAGCTCTCTGTCTGCTTTTATAGTTGCAATTCATTTCTTCTTTTGTTTTTTTAATAAACTAAAAACTCTTGAATTTTAAGTATCTTCATTTATTAATTCAGTAATATTTCACTCATTTTGATACTACGAAATATCTTTCTCATGTAAATATTTAACGTTTATTTCAGCAACCATTAAGTAACAAACATTTTCAAATGAAAACGAGGATAAAACATATTTTTTTCACCATAAACGCTTCTGTTCTAGATAGAAAGTAAATATAAAGTATCAGTAAACAGTGTTGGTGATCCAGCAGGTCCAGCTGTTTTTCCTCTGATCATTTAGTTTGGCTCTGAATCGTCTCACAGTCAGAAAGTCAAACTCTACACTGATGACTCTGTTGTTTCCACACATGAACAAACAGCAGAGCTGCTTTGAAGCTGCAGCTGCTAAAACCAAACATCCAGAGGTTTGATCAGTCAGGAATGAAGTCTGAATATTGGCTCCATGATGGCTGAGCCCGTCAGACAGTGTATAGCAGGTGGTGAGGTGATATTTGTTGATTTAAAAGCTCATTTTACCAGTGAAAGACATTTTCTTTACATTTTCCTGATAAGTACTACCCCCTCCTCCAGCTGTATGCTCTGACAGAGCATACAGCTGGAGTATGCATGCAGCAGAGAGCTCCCTTTAACCATCCAGAGGCCTGAACCACAAAGCAGGATTACTGAGTTAATGAGACAACTTCAGGTTTAACCCTTCCTTACTAGTACCACAATGATGGATTCTTTCTTAGCAAGGCTTGTCACCATGGTAACATACTCTGAATGCCAAACCTGCTCCTGGGCTGGGTAGCTTTCAGGATTGATCTGAATCCTAGAAAATGTCATAGCTTTTAATTTATTTATTTAGATTCCCTTTTCTCCCTTTTTGACATTCCAAACTTGTCTCTATTTATTTTCTCCTTTTCTCTCCTCTTACACTTCAGGAATTGACTTAATATTGTATATGAAGGTAATGTAAAAAATCTAAATCAGATCTTAATGTAAATCAGAATCTCAATCATCGTTGGAGTGAGCCAGCCTCTGCTTCAGACTTCCTATGACTCTGTGGTAGCCTCAGCTCTCCTCTACACTGTCGTCTGCTGGGCCCCTGGCAGCACAGAGCGGGACAGGAAGAAACTGAACAAGCTGGTCAGGAGGGCCACTTCTGTCCTGGGCTGCGCTCTGGACTCTGTGGAGGAGGTGGCTGAGAGGAGGGTGCTGGTGAAGCTCCCATCCATCATGGACACCACCTTCCACCCTCTGCAGCAGACTGTAGAGGAGCTGAGCAGCTCCTTTAGTGGCAGACTTAGACACCCCGTGGAAGAAGGNAATAAAGTCCTATCTTATCTCTCTTCCCTTCAAATGTATTTAAACCAGCTGAACATGCCTTCCTGCTATGCCTTCTATGGCCACCAGGTGGCAGGAGATCATTGAAAATGTAGCTCTTCATATGGATATTAGAAAAAAAACATTTCATTCAAGTCATGTTTGGTTTATGTTATTTGGGGGAAGTAAAGAAGACAAGTTAGTTCTCTCTGTTAATCATTTTATTTATATACATATTAGACAAAATCTGCTGAGTAACACTTCAAATCATTGATTATTAGTCATTAGTTGAATAAAGGTTATTCAATGTGAGACATATGGCCTAAGCTATTGTAAGTAAAATTTATTTCTATAGCACCTTTCACAGACCAAAGCCACAAAGTGCATCACTGCACAGTTTAATGACATCAGAAAATAAACAATATAAAAAGGCCAAGACAATAGGAAATCATAGCAGCCCAAAATGTAGTTAATTAAAAGCCTGTACAAATAAATGGGTCTTAATTAAGCTCCTGAAGGTGACAAAGAGTCAATAGAGCTCAATGTGGGCAGAAGATCATTCCAAAGCCATAGTGTTCCGCTTGATTTATGCATATAAATTGCTTTATTATAATTATGCAGTTTTACAGATTATATGGACACTGCAATGTAAATAGAATAGAAGAGGAAACACAGAAAAAAGCAGTAAAGATAAAAGAAAGAGGAGATAAAAGGGAGATAATGATAAAACATTTTCAGTCTGCCTCATCTCCTGCAAAGAGGTGTAAAAAGAACAGCACAACCAACAGACATGGTAAGAGACATACAATAAAGTAACACCTAGATACTATGGCTGAAGTAGTATTATTTAATCTGACATCGACTCTGTGTTACCTGAAGATAAGAATATGAGCTTTCGGTATGGAAGTGAATCTCTAAGTACCTGGAACCAAGCACCTGTAGTTGTTTGTGAAAGTGCACTTCTGCATGTAAAGTTTATCCAAAGAAAAAATGCTCAATAGTGGTTGTTGAGAGCTGAAGAGGCGTCCCCCCAGAGCACTGAGACCAGGGCTGGGAGACCCAAAGCACCAGAAGCCCATAGGGACCACAAGAGCAAAGGCACCAAGGAGGGGCCAGCCCCGGAAATCCGACCCCCACCAAGGGAGAAGGAGAGACAGCCCCAAGGAAGTCCCCCAACCACCGCAATGCCGGAGCCACGGGGACGAGTCCGCGGGCTCCGCCGGCAGCCAGCCACCCCGAAGTGAATCCGGCCCTGGCCCCCAGGGATCCCCGTGCGCCCCACCCCCCCGGCAGGAGCCCCAGCCAGGCCCTGGCTCACAGTCTCAATCACGCCTTCCCACCCTAGTGCCCCCACTCACAACACATAACACTCACATCCAATAATCCCAGGATCAAAGACCCGGTGGCACCGGTGGTTGGTCCCGGGATTATCGGATGACCCAATAAGTGAACCTAAATTTCGGATTGGGGGGAGGGGAGCGGTGACACTGCCACACTAACCCATCTCGTTCCTGCTTCGAGCCCGGCCTACCAAACCGGACAAGACCACCCCCAGCAAAAGCTCCCCCGGGATCAGGGCCCACATTCCCTGCAGCAGCTGGTTTAATCTGGTGTTGTTGCTTGTTGCTCTCAGGTGTAATTAAAACTGGGAGAACCAAAGGGTGTCAAGCACACTCCACCCCCCTCTGGGAGACAGGCAGTTCTGTGCACACCCCAAAGCGACAACCCAGAACCCTCAATGTCTAAATGCGAGAGAGGGGGTGGGGGGAGCTGACCGTGGTGAGGCCCATGAAATAAGCCCCCCGATGGTGCCCTTGCACCCACCCCCCCAGACAATGCCCTACATAGATGTGTGTTGTGAAAATGTTGTAGATGGAAGTGTCTAAAATGCAAAATAAAAGTGGGGTGGGGTATGTCATCAGAAGGTGGGGCCGTCCAGTAACGACCCCCTCCCCAAAAACCTACATGTGTGGCAGTGTGATGGAGCAGGCACAGGGAGGATTCCGGGGATGGGGAGCAAAGGACTGGGGTGCTTACTAGAGGTGTAAATAATATTTGTTTTGTATCGTTGCATCGATCCAACAGCCGGCGATTCGATGCATCGTTACGTCCACAAGAGTATTCATGTTGTATTTTTCCTCCGGTCTATTTTTATCTATTTGCTCCTGGGCGTAATTCTCCCTCCCGTGCTGCGGTGGCGTTAAACCTATTTTTCCTCCTACCTCACTTCCTGGTTATACTCTTACAGCAGTGTGTGCAGTGAGCTTCACACAGACATTTTTGATTTATGCCCAATATGCTGCGGGTCTAGATACGGCCGAAGCGGAGAGGAAGTGGGGGGTGAGTTTAGTACGACAACGGAGGGACATGAGGGCCAAAAAGAGCGGAGATCCAGGTGGAAAATGGGTCCTAGCGGGTCAAACTTCATGAGTTGCTTTCAGCAATTTCGGTCATAAAAACAAAACAAGCCGGCCTCCTGTCTGCGGCACTGTTTGCGGTCAGCTACAAATTGGGAGAGGAGCAGCTGAGTGTCTGCTGAGTGGGCCGGGACATCCACACTCTGGAGCTGAGGTATTGCATTGCACTCATTACACTGATTTTGTGCAGTATTTTACGATGCAAGGCCTTTCAGAATCTATAACGCAGGGGTATTATTATTTTTCAGTGAATGAGGTTTTAATAGGAACAGGTGCAGTAAAACTTTTCTACTTCTGTTTTTTGCTGTAGTTTCTCAAATAAAATGCATAACAACATTGCAGCTTTCCTTCATTTATTTCAAATTTAAAACACTGGCTAGCCTGTAAGGTAAAAAAATAAAAATTACCCAATTTATCGAATCGATTCGTATCGTGGTGTATTCTTGAGTATCAGGAAATCGATACTGAATTGAATCTCCATGATGGGTGTGATTGACACCCCTAGTGCTTACTGCACTCCCAGGGAGCCAGCTCCCCTGCTTACTCCAACAGGCACCCCAGTTCCCCCAGGGGCCCACCAGTCGCACCACCATAGCCCGGGGGCCAGGGATCGGCGGCAGGGCCCACAAGCCAGCCGACCACAGGGCCAACACCGACACCCTGCCATCCTGTCCATCCCCCCCCCAAAAAAAGGAAAAAAGGGAGACAACTCTGGCCGTCCAGCCCGCACGCTCCATGAGGCCCCCACCAGGGGACGGCACATACCAGGACCGAGACAGGGAGCCAGACCCGAAGCCCTTCTAAAATTCTCATCCCTCCACTACCACCACCCGCTCCCCCACCACAGATGTGATCATTCCCCTACATAACATTCAAACCACTCACCACACAAGCGACAAAAGACATCGAGGCGAGATCATTCCAACTCCCCCTCCCTCCCTTTCTCCCACTAGCTGAGTGTAAAAATCTGCCATAATGTGTTAATGTGCATGCCGCCCCAGCCCAACAGGCCCCGAGGCCTCCCGGTACACCAGCAGGGCCAGACAGCCGGGCGTACACCGGCCCAGACCCCAAGTAGCATTCCCCACTGAACCTGAACCCCCGACTCCCCACCGGGGCACCCGCCCGAGGGCAACGCACCCCAGGGACCCCAGACCCCCGGACCCACCCAGCAGCAGCACAGCTACCAGGCCAGTAGCCCACGTTCGTCACCACGGAACCCCCCAAGAGCACTGCAAGCGGCCGCCGTTGAATATAATTATCAAGATGATTGCCTGTGCACTGTGGACAGATGTTAGATTGTGCAAAACCCATCTTCAATAATCTTTGGCCTGTATAGTGCACTCTGTGGAGGATTTTGTATTGTATTAATTGTAAATTGGGGTTTCTAGTCATGTTAAAAGTTCTTAGACATATCTGAGCCCAGATGTTTTGTTCAAAGCTGACTGATAAATCCTCCTCCCATTTAGTAATAGGAAGAGATATTGTATCATCCAGTTTAGTCAGTGTGCTGTATAATTTAGACAGTAGCTTGGGGGGGGTTAACTCTAGGAACTCTGATATATTAGTTGGAATCTGTAAATCTCCATCAATATGCTTAAATTTGTTTCTAATTATAGCTTTAATTTGTTCATATTCTAAGAATAGATTTTTGTTAATGACATATTGCAAATTTAATCTAGCAAATGTGATAAACTCTGTTCCTTCAAATAAATGATCCAGATTGTTAATACCTTTATTCTTCCAGTATTGAAAGTTTACCATATTATTGTTTTGTAGAATGTCAGGGTTATTCCAGATGGGTGTACGACTGCAGAAGAACTTATTAAGGAATACTGTGTAAGTTTTTAAAGGTTTAGAGTTGCATCTCATCCCATTCAAGCAAATTAACAAATTCAAAATTTTGTTTACCTTCTTAAATGATTTATGGACTGGCTTTTCTAAATGTGAACATCTGTTTGAAAAAGTGGGGCAGATTTGGTGTCAGAAATGTAAATTTAACATGGCTGTGTCCTGCTTAAATCCAGAAATGGTTTGCTTTGCTGTTCAGCAGAGCGCATCAACTTCATTTCATGTTTACCAACATGCCAAACAAGTTCATAAGAATATGTTTTAGAGTCATGGTATTTTAATACCAGCTCCAAAATATCTGACAAGCAACACAGATATGCATTTTGTATTGAGTCCCACCCTAAGATGACCATTGGCTGGATTAGTATTCTGCTTTGATATAAAATCTAAGAAATGTTTTTAAGCTAAAGCCTGTAATATGATGGAACATATATAAAGCTATATACATGCATTATCTTTTCAAAAACATAAAAAATCACCCTTTGAGTTATTCAATTTGTAATGCAACTTCAAACTTGGAAAATATATGAAGGATATTTCAAATGCTGTAAACCCCTCTTCAATTCACAAGCTGTACATCTTAGTCAACTCACCATGGCAGTGTTTGTGATTTGGAAGGAGGGAGAGGGATTGAAAGAACCCCAGAAGACATGGGCATCGTCATTGAGGGAGTGGAGGTGTTGCATGACCTGACTTCAGTTGCCTCAGCATGTGCCCTGCTTATGGCTTTGATATATTCCCTTAACCTGGCTTATCCAAAGGCTCTGCGCTTCACATTTGAAGTGTTCCAAAAAATCTTCATGCAGCTTGAGCAGCACAAGATGTCTCCCAAAGTTCAAAATTAGTTTGGAAGACTTCANTCTTCTTTATGCTCAAAAACACAAAGAAGACCTCAGAGCTTGGCAGTGCAAGATCCACCTCACTGTGCTCTGGGGAGTCTGTGAGCCACCACTCTATGAAACACGCAGGTTCTCTTTAGAGAACTTGGAAAAAAGCCAGAGAATCCAGCCAGGTCTGAGAAGAGATGATCAGTTTTGGGATGTGGGACGTGACCTGCTGCATGATGAGGTTAAATTGATGCGCATAGCAGTGGACATAGTGTGCATTAACATAGACATCCTTCTTCTGTACACAAGGGTGTAACAACACAACAATAGGCCCGTAAGCAACATTATCTGGGTGGGCCCCATATGAAGTACAACACCCCATACCCCCATTGGTGTCTTGTTTAAACCGCTCACCATCATGTTGAAATCTGGCATGTGTTGCTGTATAGATAAGGTCCGGTCAGACAGACTAGCATCAAGTGGGTAAAACAGGAATTTTTTGCACCTTTACATCTTCAAAGAGTCGTCCTAGTCCACAATTGCGTGGGGGGCCTACCAGGTGTCAATGATGGGGCCCCTAAGAGGTTGAGGGCCCCTAGGCAACTGCACTTTCAGCTTACCGATAGTTATGCCATTGTCTGAACACCACCTGTAGCACCTCTCATGACACTTGCACCATCATAAGCGAGGGAAATGAGCTTGCTTCTCTGGTGATCAGGGAGAATGAAACTCAACCTATCCAGAAATGCTGTGGCGATGGAATCAGCTGTGACACATTGGAGAGGTATGAACTGAAAAAACCTGTCTTGGACATGATGGGCTTTGTCAATGTAGCGGATCAGAAGCACCAGCTGAAACTGAGTGGAAATATCCATTGTTTCATCAGCCTGGATGGAGACAAAGTCTGCACTCCTGATTTCTTCAAGGAAGCACTCTGAGTTTATTCTGTACTGTCTTAGACGTTCCCTTAGACACAGTGGCAGTCTCAGGTGCTGGTGTAGAACTGCATCCAGTGATGCTACAAAATTCACCATTCCTCTAAAAACACCAGGGTTTTTTAGCTCTCACTTTCATCATGGCCACGGAGGGCAAGTTCAAATGCACAACAGAATTTGACAAGGTCTATGAGTTTTTAAAAATGTGCTGATTTTTGTCAACCTCCTCATTATATTTATGAATCCCTGTCCTTTAGCCTTCAACAAGCTGAGATTGTCAGGAATCCAGTTTGTGTGGTCTGTTTTATGTCTGTCTCTCCCCTCATCACCAGGTGGTGCCCTGTCCTTGTTGGTCCTCCCTGCACACCTGCGGCTCTTTGGATCATTATCTGGAGGAGTACTTAAGCAGTGGACTGTCACTACCTC